AAGCCGCGATTATTTAAATCGCGGCTTCATTTCCCTTTGCTGAACAAACAAATCTACATGGCTCTGTCAACAGAGCCATGTAGTTTAGACATACCCAAGAGTGTGAAAAGGCTTTTCACTGTTTCACTCTTCTGCAGTTACACCACACTGACCTATTACAAATATTACTCACTCATTTTTGCCAGACTCTGGGTACCTTCCACCAATGAGAACTGCTTTGTGTGTTTAAAATATTTTCTATAGCTTCCATGTGAACTTCTGTATTGCTATTTCTAACCATATCTTTCACCTTCCCGTAGATTGAGAACAGACTCTGCATCTGTGCAGCCATGCCCAACAAAGTGGTTGTTTTGCGTTATAATGAGAGTCTCAGCAAATTCTGCATCAGGAAGGCAAGTTCATTGATTTCTCTCAGTTCACATATTTGTAACAAGCCAGTGTGAGACACCACTCTGCTAAGCTACAAGTGTGTAAAAACCTATGTTGCTCAGGCAGATTTTTCTTTGATAGCTAAAATGGCAGTAAATTGTAACCCGCTTTGCGAATAGGGGCAGCAAACGGAGTTTTGAGGGAGTTCTCCAGGTAAAGGAGGAGCAAATACGGGACCCCTGAGGTAAGTGGCTGTCTGTAGTGTGTGTTTGGGGGTTACTTGCTGTGTGCTGAGCTTGTGTTTGTCTGTTTGTTTGGTTTGGTTATTTGAAGGAGCGTGTGCTGTGGCCGGCAGTTGGAAGCTGTGAGCTTCTAAAGGTTTGAAATCTAGAAGCCTCTGTTAATTGGCTAAGCCTTAGTCAGGGGGCGGGGCTATCAGGAAGGCCAGGGCTTTATAAAGCAGTGAGCCAGCGACCAGGGAGCTTTGTGAACAGGGGCAGCAAACAGGGAGTTTTGAGAGGGAGTTGGAAGGGTCCAAGGTACACTTGCCATTCTTTACGGTTCAGTTTAAAGGTTTTAATAAAAACTTCCTGATTTAACTAGAAACCCTATCAATAACCTAAACTATAACCAAACCTTCCTGATTTAAATAAAAACCCTATC